AGACGAATAGAAAACACGCACTACACTGAACACAAGTCGACTCGTCTGTTAGAAAATAATTCTCAATTGATTGGTGTAATAAGAGGTCTATCCTAATCTTTTCTAAGTAAATACGCATCATACCAACGGTGCGGTGTAGTGTGAAGGTTGAGTCTATAAATTTTCGCAGGAGTTACATTTATATTAAAAGTAAGTTAAAAATTGTAGCGATATAAGAAGTACCATGAAACACCATGCATTACGTCTACAACCGAACTCCAAAGTGTGGAATTTCTGTCTTAAAAATTAATTCCTTGATAATGATTAATATTATGAGAGGTTTGATGGTTACATCCTATACCAGTAACGGCTCAACCAACGGAAAAAACTACAATTTTACATTCAAAACTACTAAAAAACGAATTGTTACTCAATTGCAAGAGGAAACTATGGTTTCACCTCTCGTTTGAATGAACCCTGGTACATATTTGTGCTTCTCAAAGATCGAAAACTACTTTTTCATCATTTTAAGAGTGTTTGCGGGCGAATCATGTCCATATTTATATTGTAGATTTGATAAGGCCTGCAACAGATCGAAGGATAGTGCTAGAATTCGAAGTTTAAATTACTTTGGCTTCTTTTTCTCCTAACTATTCTTGGTTTTATAAATGATAAAATTAGAGTGCTTTCAAGTTTTGGTGGTGCCTGCTTAATGCTGCCATCCCACTAAAATGCAGTACATTAAGAATTCATTACTAACGAAACGTTAATTACTTACTGCTCGCCTATCGAGAATTATTGCAAATAAATTCCCTTGTAGTTACTAAAAGTCTCCTTCGTGTCATATCTTTCGAGTGATTTTATAATTTCAAAAGCCGGCCCGTGAATTCCTAGCTTAGTTTTTACAAACAACAACAAGTTAAGAATCAATTTGACAAAAACAAAGTAAAACGCTACAGTGAGCTCCCGGCACCATTAAATAATCTACACTCTTGGCACCGTTAAATACACTACACCTACCCTACACCATCCTGTTTATCCTGCCGTACATCGTTATTTTTGTAACGGTTTTTTGGAAGAAGACGTTATACGGGCAATTGCTGAAAAAGTGCTTCGATCCCAACGATTTTCGGTAGCACTCGTCCCTGGGTCAGTATACTTCGGTGTATCAAATTTCATCAAAATATTTCCAAAATTGCGGGCTGTAGGCTGAACTGAGGAAAACAAAACAGATGGATGGACACAGGGACAGACAAGCTTAAATCGATCCAGAATATGATTCTGAATCAATCGATATAATCACAGGAGCGTTTATCTCAATATAGTCTTGTACTACAGACATACTAGGCTATAACTGTTTAAAATATGGCTTTCAACGACTTGCCTGCAATGCATTATATATTTATCTGAAATTTGCGACCAATTAGTGCGGAGCTAAATGAAAACGCATTCTAATCTTCTTTTATATGTATATTTGCGTTATATGGATGATATCTAAAATCATTCCGTAGCAAATGTAATTTTCTGCCACGGTTAGTATTCTGATTAGACACTGATAATGCTATGGGACTAACTTTCTCATTAGTTTTACATGGCATATCTACTTTGTCAGAGGATATCGAAACTGTCAACTTTCAATTAAAGAAATTTTCTTTAATTTATTCATTCTCATGTCTATTCAAGAAATATATTTCCCCCAGATTTTTTATCGGCATATTTACTCATATTAATTTTCTCTTTAATTCGATTAATGAAAATCATGTGGGATCAATTAGCGAAATACAAAAATAATTATTTACAAAAGGAGTTAAGCCACTTATCTGCCCAGGAAATTAATAAAGTTGAAGAGAAAGGTAAGTTTCGTTGAGATAGAAAACTTTATGCTAACGGAATGTTTAACTCAATGCTATTCATACACTTAGCAATGCATGAGATTCAAAGCGAACGTCGCGAATGTAATCGGATGCGTTGTAAGAAGGTGGGATTCGCAAAACCTTCTCAATATTTCGAGGATCGGGCTGTCTTGTCCTATGGATTTGACACCCTACCGAAATTAATGGAAGATTTGGGAAGTGATGATCACGTTACCCGATGGCGGGCAATTACCTCGTTGCCGGAAGTCATTATAAATCCCTTACATGGTCAAACTGCAATAACGACTCATGAAATTGTTAGAAGGTAGGGTAACGTAGCGAGTTCTATTGTGTGCGTAGGCAAACAAGACAAAAATTTAAAGACTTCGAATGTTTGTTTACAGATGTGCGAATATATTCGTAAAAATTCGTTTGCGCAATGAAAACCCAAAATACATTGAAATGGAAAAACTTTTGGACATATTTCGTAAGTGAAAACCGAGAAAAAAATGAAGAGGAAAATATGCAAGCAAAGTTATGTTTAGCTTAGCCTGGATTGTTTGCTATTTCAAGCAAAGGTTCTTAATTATTCAGACAATGTCAACCGCTTGATCCCGAACAGCTTTGCAAAGAGCATTTAGTCGGTTGCGAGGAAATTTTAGGTCGGTTCCCAATTCATAGTTTATCAACTATCGTGGGCTGATGGTCATCACCATTTAAACTTGATCCTGCATCATTATTACATTTTTTACAACAAAACGAGAGATGCACAAGTCGAAAGCGAGTCAGCTTTGTCTAAGACGTTTGCTATGTATATCATTTTGTTGGTTCGCATGCGGAGATTGAAAAAATCTTAGTAACTTAGTAAGTGCTTTAAAACGGGATGCATTGCTTTGTCAAATCGCGCATCCATATCGATTACAGATTAATTGTAATTCTAAGAGGAAAGATTGGACAAAAGATTTTCTTTCTTTTTTTAATATTTCATATGCCGAAACTATTCTTGCGAGCACTTTCTACCTCGGTGCCAAAACCTACTCTAGCTTATCTGTATAAAATAATTTATTCCAACAGCAGACAGCAGTTGTCCATAAATTTGATGTTGGTCTGGAAAACCACTCATTACGCAAAGCTGTTAATCGCCCTATGATCACGCAAATATCATTCAGAAAAAATTTGGATGAATATCTATCATAGGGTGCAAGTTACATTTTTCCGCCATCCATTGCCGAATTTTATTTACTTCACTTCTACACCTACATTCATTTGCGACCGTTGACTAAGGTTTCTAATTAAGTTTCCGATACCATGACAGAACAAGTAGAAGACGATAAAAAGCTAAATGGTCAAGAATATAAACTCTGGCAGGGATTTCCCGATCATATGGGATGCATGACATGATGCATTAGAGCAAACTTATGATAAAGCATATGGCAAATCCAAAAAAAAATTGAAATAAATTATTATTGTTTCCCATTCCTTCGTCAGTTGTGATTGCTTTACATATGAATGGTGGTAAATATATTCTAAGATGCGAACCTTTAATTAATCAGTTTTATGATATAATACGCAAACGTGAAGAGAGTGTACCAAAAGTGTCGGATATTTTATCGCTTATAACTAAAGATGCTGAGGATGTGCATTATTTACAAGAACGTTATGAGGCTGTGACTACATTAGCGCAAATCTTTAGCTATGACCTATGCGCTCCTTCCTATCCAGCCAATTTATGGAGACATATGGAATGGATATTCGAAGCATTCCCCCATTTCGCGGTCGATAAAGGCTTCTTTGAAATCCTTCATACGCGCATTAAAAATCGTTCAAGCAAATATCATATATTTGATATGAAATGTTTCGGTTTGCTTTTACGCTGCTCGGAGGGGCAGAAGCGTTTTGTGGCTATTGACGGTGTTAAGGAAATTTACGATATTCTCGCTGATACGAAACACAAATTAGATACATACGAGCAAGTGATTTATACATTGATGAGTGGCCTATTTGCCAAAGATACACTCTGGAGATGTGGCGAGCTAATCGATATGCTATCAATTATAATGCAGTTCGCCAAGAATCGTCAGGAGATTAATACTCAATTGTATTGTCTTCAAGTAAGAGTCTTTTAATTAATATTTCCCTCCTATGCGCTTGTGTGCTAAGCACATACATTTTCTTCGCAATAGATTTTTCGTATATTAAGCGATATGCCTTGGATTAAACGTTACATGAAAGAGAATTATTACAAGAGTCTCGAGAATATTAAATGCGATACTAAAAGTAATGATAAGCTACGCTCGGAACTTTTATATAAGTTGGATCGGGAAATCTATCATCTCAGTGAATTGCGTTTGAATAAAAGAGTCAAGAACACCTTCGAAATGGATGGTAAGGAGGAAAACAAGGCAGAGTTGGAAACTAAAACGAATTTCCGCTAATTTTCAAGCTAAGCTTCAATAATTAACCTCAGTAGTGATGATTTTTTCTTTTTGTGAAAAACAGATATTTTATGTATTTATTCGTTAACACATTTTCAATTTGTAACTCTTAATGTAATCAAGATAGCATTTAATAATTTTCAATCTCTTTCTTTTTTAACACTTTTTCTCGAGAAATTTGAGATCTACATCGCACTGTGACAAGTCATTCAGATTAGCTGTGACTTTTACTTATATAGCATACATATAACATATTTGTACTCGTCAAATAAATTTAAAAAATATATTTTTATATACATTTTTTATTTATTTTTTTTCACATTCAAATGTATGTTTCGTGTATAGTTTATTCCTCCTTCTCGTGTTGGAAATTGAAGAATTTTTGTTTTTTCGTTGTTTCTTCTGACTACAGAATGTTATGAATACTATGAAACGTTAGAGGGATGTATATGAGTGAAAACGGCTATTGCAAAATTGCCGGGACAATATACCGAAGTGGCTTATCAAAGAACGTTTTGTATAACAGCGGCAGTGACTGTAAATAGAGCAAAAGCGTTTGTATACAATGCAGAGAGTTGGCGTGCGAGTATTGGGGGAACAAGTTACGCTGTAATATGCAAGCAATTGCTCTCGTTCCGTCCAAAAAAACACTGAGCGTTTTAAGGAAATTCTTATTTAGTTGTAGATGTTTACATGATACTTTGATTCTCTGCACCGCTTGTTCTGCAAAGGTTTGTGCAGATGTATGCAATACTCAGTAGGACTTGAGATGGATCGATCTTTTATTATATCGATCGATTCAGTATCTGGTTCTGAATTTGCACGTCCGTCCGTCCGTCCATATTGTTATGTCCATATTAGGCTATTGAAAATATTTCGGTTCCGGTCACTTTTTCGACTTTTTTTCTCATATAAGACCTTACTCCGAGAAGGGGTTATATGAAAAACCGTATTAAGGGATAGGGTACCTAATGGTGGGCCTTGCCCCACTATAGTATTTTTACTTATTATTTTGAATATTCTCCTTTAAACCTTATCCATGTCAGAACGTGTTCTGAAAAGTCGTTGTATGCATAAATGTATTAAGCAAAGTGGGGTGGGATAGTTAATGGTAGGCTTTAGTGCTTTTACTTGTTTTTTTTTTTAGTATTCTCCTGTTGAAGCAATAATATATCTTTGGCCGCTGCGGGAAAGCAACTTTGTTCAACTTGTTTTAGTACAAATCCACTCGTTTTGCAACTCATTTTGCACCCTACGTCGCTTGAGGTAAAGGACATGTTAGGTTTGTACGTAACACGCAGAAGGGCTTAACATATGAGCTTATCTATCCATCTGCCCATATTGTTGTGTTCAATTGGTACACCGACACGTTTTGGCCCAAGGACGAACGCTATTGAAAACTTTTCGGACCGGGCCGCCCTGTCGATCACATCTCACGTAAGGCCTTATTCTGAAAATACCTTATATGAATAACAGTATTAAGCAAAGTGGCATGGGGTACTGAATGGTGAGTGTGTTCCTTTATAGTGTTCTTACTTGTCCTTTTTAATATTGCCCTTTTGAAAGAACATAAAGAAGGAACATTATTAAGTTGTCGTTGAAGGGTGACTTGCTTCCAGTTTCTTTGTGGTATGAATGTCTATCTGCTTCGAAACCAATTTTGACTTGTGTGAAGTAAGCTTTTTACTAATCTAAGCTCAACTCTAGAAAAATAGCGATAATGCTATTTTGCTCATTGCCTAAGCGTGGGTACGCATAGGTGTGATAGTTAAAAGTTTGATTTAGTCTAAAGAAGGAAGGTAAAAATTACTTAACGTTAAACCTCTGCATCGTTCCAGGTGCTAAAATATATACGTTAGTAGGGAAAGCAACGCTACAATTCTCGATCTCGACGTTCAATCTTCTTTCTTACGGCCTTAAGTTAATTAAATATCTAAGCAGAGGTATTAGGTTCCGCATGTTATTTTGTTTTAAACTGCAGCTGAAAATGCAGACGAAGCTATGAAATCGATTAGGTTCACTTGGAATGAAAGTAAGGTGGCAGACAATTAGAAAGCGGTTTGCGAGATTTCGATTTGTGTACTGAGAGTAATGAGAGTACATCCAGGACTCCAGAAGCAGGAGGCTTTCCCGTTTCCAGGAAAAGCTTCTCAGCAAATGATCTTCAAACTGAACTGAGAGCATCTCCCGATTGCGGCATATTATTCAGACCTGACCCCTTCTGTAGTAGCGCTGATTGAAGTCGACAAAGTCATATTCAGTACATCATGAGTTTGCTTGAATTGTGAGAATTGAACGATAATATGAAACGAAATGAACTGTGAAAGGAAAGAACTTATATCCAGTACTCAGTAATCGCTTCCAGAATTTCGAATTGTCAGAATGTGAAAAAATTATTATATATATGTTTTAAAAATTTTTTTTTTTATATTCAGACGATTAATTGGTTCGTATATTTTTTTAAACACGTAATAGGAAGGTTTAAAATAAAGACATAGGAGAATAGGTCATTATGTTCGAGCAGTGGGCGCAATATAGGAATGGGTTTTTGCAGGCGCGAGTTAAAGGTATTTCGGCTGTATGTATTAATAATCTACTAGAGCAGGGTAAGCATCGCAAGCATCTATATGTAAGACGGCTTACAATATTGAATTAATTTTATTTCATCGCAGAAATGACTAAAAGGCAGGAAAAGCGTGATCGGTGTGATTTGGTACGTCATGAGGGGCGTTCATGTGCACCATCAGCAAATTACTTTGAAAATCGCGCCCAATTGGCGTACGGTTTTTGGGCATTACCTAAACTAATGAAAGAACTGGGCAGCGATAAGAGCGATGAACAATGGCGAGCCATCAATTCATTGGCCGAGCACATCAGCAATCCATTACATGGTCAGCGTGCTATAAATGTTTATGAGATTGTTAGAAGGTAATCGTAAAGCGGGATTAATTAACGCTCGTAACTATTGATAAATCTCTTAACAGATGTCAAAACATTTTCACACGCTTTTATAAAAGGTGCCACACCCCCAGAGTCCGCGAAATGCAAGGACTTTTGAATATATTTTGTATGTTTTTTATCGATTGACAAATTGCTCTCGACATTGTGAACTCAAATTGATCATCATTTACATTATAGATTTAGTGGCCCAGCACATGAATGGCGGTAAACATATTTTAAGAAGTGAACGCTTAATTGGTCACTTATATGACATTGTGTATAGTCGCGATAGTATGATGTATACGGCATCATCAATTCTGGATATGATAACGAAAGACAAGGACGATGTTTTTTATTTGCAAGAACATTATAGAGCCTTAAACAAATTAACCGATATTTATAGTCGCGACGTGTGTGTGCGTTCATACCCGCCTAGTTTATGGCGGCATTTAGCCCGTTTTTTGGAATTAATGCCTCATCAAGCAATGGACCGAGGTTTCTTCATGATTCTGCGTAAACGAATCAAGGGGCGTTTATACAATTACCATATACATGATATGAAATGCTTTGCTCTGCTATTACGTTGTCCCGAAGGGTTGACGCAACTATTAAATTGCGACGGAATTAAAGAGCTTTATTTGATACTATCCGATAAAACGAGAATCTTAAGCACATACGAAAATGTGGTTTTCGCCCTGATGAACGGTTTGTTCGGAAAAAAAATTCTCTGGAGATGTGCCGAATTAATTGATATGCCAGATTTTATAGTCGATTTGGCGAAAAACTTTAAAAATATTAATATGCAGTTATGGTGTTTTCAGGTAAGTCAATCCATTTTCAGAAAAGTGCGCGAGGTTTTAAGCGGAGAAACACTTTGTATTTTAGTGTTTACGCGAATTGGGTGCAATTCCTTGCGTTAAACGTTACATAAACGAGAGTTTCTACGAAGATCTTAAGAATATAAAGTGCAAGGCGGACGCTAATGAAAAACAACGCGCTGAACTATTGTATTGGCTGTCTCGTGAAGTCTATCATATCAGTAATTTGCGTTTACATGAACGTGAAAAAGTAGATGAAAATTGCTTATAAATTTTGTCGTTGTGTAAAAATTTTGACGAGCGTAGGGCAAAGAGTTCTTTTCTTAAATTCACTAAAATTCTAAAAAAAATTATTTTTTTTTTTTAAATAAAATATTGAATAACAAAAAAAAAAATTTTATCCGATAAAGCTCTTTTTTGGGACAATTTTCTGTCTTGGGTTTTATTCTCTTTCTAAACCTCTGCGTACTCATTTCTCTAAGCGCCATTGGGAAAAGTAAATCTTACGGGACGTATGACCGATACACTATAAGTTCACGTTAATTAAAATTGTATGCATTTTATGGCGGCTACTGCAGAAAGGGGAAATAAGTTAGGTAAAGCAAGGGAAACTACGGCGGTGGCCCGATCCAAATCATTACCAATAGTGTCCTTGGCTCTGCCGAGGAATCTCATCAAAATATCTCAAAGATTACGATCTACGTCAATTGAACACAAGAAAACAAGAAGAACAAGCTTAAAGTGACTCAGAAAGTGCGAGATTGCGAATCGATCGGTATAATGTGAGATGGGCTAATTTCAAATCCTTCTGAGTGTTGCATGCATCCGTATAAACTTAATATGCCTTTGTACAACGCGAGTTGTAGGGTATAATTGATCTTTACTATCGAATTTCAATGCAATCTCAGAAACATTGAGCTTAAGTTGAGAAATCGTTCGATTTGTTCCCCTGCGAATATTTACGATAACCAATTTCCCCTCTTATAAGTATTGTCACAAACAGCTGTTATTCTTAAGCTGCTTTATTTTTATTATTATTTTTTTTTTCTTGTAAACAAAACATAAACAGAGAGATTTCAAGTGCGAAAGCTTTGCATTTATGAGAGAAACCAAAGGAGATAGAAAGCTTAACCGTTTCATTTTGTTTAGAGCTTTGATGCTATTTAAGTCTTCACTTTGTCGTAATAAGTTTAGTTTTATCATCAAATCGAATGCGATTTTTTACGAGTTTTACGAGCGTTTGATCGTCTGCTGAAATAAAAGGATTACGTTGCTATTAACTTGTGAAATAAAAACAAAAATTCGCACACATTTTCCTTTCCTTTCTTTCGTGCTATTGTCATTATCCACTCTGTGTGTGTGTGTGTGTGTGCGTGTTTATAAACGCGATATGAGATTTTCGAATCTTATGATGACGTTGAAGATGATTTTGATTTACTTCATCATTTATAAATAATTTTAATGCGTTCATGTTGTGCGAGATTCGTATTCAGTTGCACTGAGATATTCGTCGATGGCGCAACGTCTGTGCGATGAGCATTGCATGCTAACGCAACAAAGTGTAATATTTTCAAAATAAATGGTAACGTATTGTCGTATCCGTTTCCGTGTTATATATGTGCGTGTACGTAAAGGAAGTATAAATGCTTTTAGGTTTTTTGATGAAAATTAATTTTAATTTTCCGTTACACTTTTTTACATGACGTGTTTATAAATGAAAGTGTGAAATGGCAAATAGGAAAACGAATACATTGTTTTTAATGGAAATGAAAAATTAAACACAAAAAAATAAAAAAATAAAAAATTTGCATACAAAACGTGGGTTTGCTTGTGTTTTCAAATAAGGCGGTCGACCCGATCATTATGAACTTAGCTGCGAAAAGGAACCAAATTATAGTGAAGCCAAAAATTATTATTGAGAGATTTTAGTGAAAATTCTACCGTTTTCAATGAATTTTTTTTAACTTCGTCTTAAGACCATTTTTTCTTACTTACTGCGTACAGTTTTCCGACATCAGTGTGTTTTTTTTTTTCTTTTTATAGTTAGTTTCTTTATATTTATAAGTTGTTAATAAAAATATATTTAGTTGCTGCAAAAGCGGATTTACTAGTTATTGACAAGCAAGGTGGGACTCCTTATTATTTATGGCAGCATACTTGGTCTTGCAGAAAACTTTTGTGCCTCATTTCCTTTAAAACTTTAGTTTTTGAATTTATTACTCCAGCTAAATTAATTGTAACACTAATGATAATATAATAAATTAAAATATATTTTTAGATTAAAAAAAAGAATTAATAATCAGATTAGGAAAAATAAACTGACTATTAATTAATGAAAATTGCTATATGTGTAATAGAAGGTTTAAAATTAAAAAGTGTTCTCGTAAAATATATTGTATGCCGAAGCTGTTAATATACTTTAAAGGATTTCCTGGGAGTATGTTGCTTGGTAAATCAAAAAATATCAGTGCAATGCATAAGAAAACATAATCGAGCTCTCTTCTCAATTGAATTGAACAGAAATCTAAAGTTGGACTAAGCAGACGTCCAATAGCAATTACTTTTAAAAAGTACCTTAATTTAATTTTTAAAAGGCAAACAGAAAAAGATGAAAAAGGAGGCCGCATGCGAACAACAAAATCCACATTGTAAAATAATGAAATAAAATGAAAACAAAGACAACATACTATGAAATGAAAAATTAAAGCTGTTAAATTTGAAATTTTTATAAAAAATTTATTCACACAAAAAAAAGAAGAAAATTAAAAAAAAAATTGTAACATATTTTTAAGTGTATCCGAAATTAATAAATTTAAAGCAGAGTTTTTAGATGCAGTTTTACTGAATTGATATTTAAAGATTTGAAAATTTAATTAATAAAATAAAAGATGAAAATTGTGTGGTTATTTTCATGACAATTTTTTATTTTCGAATACTTTTTCGCTTTTGTAACATTACACATTAAAGTGTAAAATTTTCAATATTACCTACTATGAAGTCACCAACACCATCAAGGCGCGCATTAAAAATAAAACAATTGCTGGCTAACGCGTCCTCAAGGACATTACCAGCAATATTAACATTATCGCCATCGTTGCCGACGTTGTTATCAACCTTGTCATCGCCAATGTCATCAGCAAAGTTGTTATCATTATTGCCGAACATACCTTTTAACAAATATAAGAAACCATTAGCAACAACGGAAACAAATACAATAAAATTAACAAAATGTTACTGTAAACATAAAAGCATACCTTCGTTTAGCAATACTTTTGCCAATGGAAATGACCAGAATATGGTGTGTTGTAGTGCTTGTACTTCTTTAACATGTAACGACGATATTAACCACAGAAGGAACAAAAATTGTGTAAACTTGAAAAAGAAAACAAAATTGATGAAAACAACGACTGCAACAACAATAGCAAACAGAAAGCAGCAACCTCAACAACATATATTGATGGCAGCTAACTGCAATAATAACAATAACAATGATAGCAACAATAACACCAAAAGGACTAAAAAAGAAAACAACAACATTAACAACAACTGGCATAACAAAAGCAACCAGGATATCATCAGCAACAATGGTCGTCATGGCTCTCGTCGTCACAGTCAGCAACGACAACATCATCATCAAAGTGTTGGCAGCAGCAGCAATGGGTGCTGCAATTGCTATAGCAGCCATACCGGTACAGCTAGCTCTTGGATATTTTGCCTATGGTTATGGATAACAATTTCATCGCTTGTATTTGTACAATGTATACCATCACCATCGTCATCTGTACAGTTACAGAAACGAGGTAAGTGCATTGTTTTTAATGAAAAAACAAAAGGGAAAACAAGGAGGAAAAGAAAGGAAAACAAGCACGTAAAGCCAATAAATGTTATTGCAACTGCGTTTGTTTATAATTCAATTCAGACTTAAAGAAAGTTGTTCTGATTGCTTTCGAGAAAGAAATTAAAAATATAGAAACCGTCGCGTGCGACATCAGTGATTTAACAAAATATTCTTTGGTTACGAATTGTTAAACACTTTTAACATATATCTTGCGGTATAAAGAAAACTAAAATGTTTTGATATTATCGCGGGGAAAATATTTAAAGCATACTATTAGGATTAGCATATTCTAAAAATTCTTGCTTACATTTTTGTTAAAGGAATTTTTATTTTATTATTACATTTCCATGTATCTACTTTTATCGCGTTGCCTTGTTATCTACTTTTATCGCGTTAGGCGGCAATATGAGCTCATCATCATATCTGCTTTCATTTCATTTATATGTATGCAATGAATATAATGATAGCGAACGCACATGCATATTAAGGACGCAACAAATATATGTCAAATGGAATTAAATTACGCACTCATTACATGCGTGTTTACATAGGAAGTTGGTTAAGAGCAAAGGCTTATAAATATTTAGATTTAAGTCTGAAAATTAATGAGGTAGCAAATCATTTGCTTTATGAAAATTTAATTACATCTTATTACTTCTTCTTCTTCTTACAAAGGACGAAGGAGTCATCGACTAAATATCCATTTGATTTTTATTTATTTATTTATTTATTTATTTATTCCACTTATACAAGAAACTCAACTAAAAGTTTTGACAGTCGAGTTCAGTTGACTCTTAAAGTAAAGCAGAAGTACAATAAAACAAATAAGAAGGAAAAAGAAGAAAAAAGGCATGTACACAACGAGCATATAGCCACACCCACAACCGGTACAGGACCAAATTGCGATTGAACCTCTAAGCCATAACAGTTGCATACAATTCATAATAGTTAACAACAATTCATTTTCTACTCATCGGGACATTTTAAGGTTAAGAGCTAGTTTAAGTACGACATAGGTAAATTACGCGCATTAAGCAATGTTGCTTTAATGGACTTTAAAGAGTCCGATAATGAGAATAAGTGAGAGACATCATTTAGGTTCTTGCAAACAACTCTGAGTGGGTTAAACACCTCGTAATTATATTTACATTGACTAAGCTTAACCAAGGTAAAGTGTTGGGGACATTAAAGCTTATTTCACCAAGTAATGCAGGCGAGTCAATAGCACCATTTATTACTTTGATTACGAATGAAACGCCAAGAACAAATCTATGTTTTTCGAGAGACCGTAAGGACAACACAAGCAACCAATTTTCATAGGGGGGAAGGGAGGCAATCGGATTGCAACTCAAATTCCTAAGGGCAAACAACAAGAATTGTTTTTGAACAAATTCAATAGAATCTACATAGCACCTATATGAAGGAGACCACACAACAGAGGCGTACTCAAGTACAGGTCTAACCAAACACGTGTACAGCCTCTTAGTAACGTAAGGATCATCAAGCTCTTTGGACCACCTCTTTATAAAACCAAGCGCAGACCTAGCTTTGCTTAACGAGAGCTCAATGTGCAAGTTAAAACGTAGTCTATGGTCAAATAGAACCCCTAAATCTGTGAACGTATCAACGTTCTCCCGCTTATCCGAGTCAATGAAATACTGAGTAATGAATAACTTTCTTCTTGAGAAAGAAAGCTTCTTACATTTATTTAGATTTAGAAGATTCAAAGAGCACCGTGCAACCAAATTATTCAAGTCACTTTGAAAGTGATGTGATTGTGATTCTAGAGGGAAGGAAGAAAATAGTTTCACATCCTCAGCGTACATTGAGATCTGACTGAAATTAATCACCGATGGGAGACCATTAATGTATAAACTAAATAAAATGGGATCTAAGTGGCTGCCTTGAGGTACGTCAGACGTTACGGGTAATTCATCCGAGGTGATGAAGTTAAACAGAACCCTAAAGGATCTATTGTGCAGATAAGAGCTTATCCATTTCACTAAATAGAAAGGGAAGCCAGAGGCTTGGAGTTCAATTATAAGTAAATTATGGTTCACGAAATCAAACGCTTTGCTTAAATCAGTGTATATTACATCTGTGCGAGAGCCACTAGAAAAAGCCTTGAAAACATGACAAGTATATTCTAGCAAATTGGTGACCGCAGATCGCCCTTTCCGAACGCCATGCTGGTGTGTAGAAATATATGAATTAATGGCAAATGACAAATGCTCAAATAGCTTAGGCAAGACACTTTAATCTATCGGAAGATTATTTTGCGTATTTCAGTAAGTCGGACTTTCATCGGATCACTGTGGCTTATTTATGCCGAGTTGCTTTATTGCTTCTTTCCATATTCGATGACATCTTGGATTACTGTACACATCACTAGGCGAGAAAGATTTAAAAAATTTGTCTAAACCATAAAAAAGTGCCAGAGGCGTATACATATACATATATAAGATACATATATCCATATAGATATGTACATCTATTCTTATTTATCAAAAACGCGTATGAGATTTGTATACATATATATATATATATATATATGTATGTATGTGCCTATATGCTTTGGCGGTATACAACTTTGAGTCAATTTAACTATGCCGTTTCCACGTATAGTTGCCTTAAAGAACTTTGAATTTAAATTTTTGTGTACATAAGTGTATGTGTTCTAACATCGCCAGTCAAGACAAAACAAACTCATTTTAAATCCACTAAAAACTAATTTTAAATTTAACAAGTTAATAAAATTGAATAAGAAAAGAAGGTCGAGGAAGGCGCATTCTCGATCCCGGTGAAACGCATCAATTCAATAATGATTGTAATGCAATAAAATTATTTAATTAATCAATGTTAATTTCGCAAACGCAACGCAGCGACAACAAAAAGGTTGATGTAGTCAAAAACTTTGGAATTTCATTTTAACCGCAATGTACTATTCTGTCACCATAACTGCTCAATGTACGCTTCTCCTTCGTATGACAGTTTGACCGTTCTCCTCATCAAAAAGCCTTCGCACTTTTAATTGAAAAATCGCAACTTGATTTGGTTATTTTTTTCTGAGAGCCCACACAGATAGCACAAAGTAAGAAAATCCAATCCTAAAACAAAATTTTCGTCCACCTTTTTTTCTTTGATATTAAAGTTTATATCAAGTCTATTCCACGTTTTCTTTTTTAAACTTTCCAAGGATAATGAAATCTTTTGACATTTTGAAAAAAACAAAAGGACCGTTCAAAGATAGTCAAGAATTTTTTCCTTTTCTATCAAAAAATGTTCGCATACTCGATTTTCTGCAAAGCTTGCACGGCGGTGTAGCTGAGGTCCGCATTTATACACAATTCAAAAGGAGGTACGGAAGAAATGTACGAAATTGTTTACAATTCAAACGGAGGTATGGAAATTCGATTGAAAAATATATGAAATCCTGCCAACTGCAACGTGTATCTATCTATGTATATTTTGTACAATTGTTGAGATATTTTCATGAAATTTAGTCGGCTTAATTATTTGACCCTAAGGATGAACTTTGTTGGAAGTAAATCTGGTGGGACCATTTCTACGACCATTCTTTCTTCATATATGGCCTTACTTCGAATAAGGGTATAATTGAAAAAGTTTACAATTTTTCTCGCTGAATGCTAGAACTCCGACATACTAAATTGAAATGAAAATTTTGGATTGAGTTGGCCAATTTTTCGAAATCCTACAAAAAGCAAGTCTTTTTTTGGCGCGAAGAGTCTAATATTTAATATTTCATAATGAAATTCGGTTCATAATAGAATTTTGACATAAAAAGTAACTGCACCAAATTTGGGCCAAACAGGTGAATGCAAAACTATATTGAGCCTTTAGATGGTATCAAAGGTTCTTGCACTTCATGAGACAAATAGGTGAACAATGACAAAATTTTTGGACAACAAAATAAATTTTACTAGATTTTTTACGACGTTAATGCAGTTCCCTTCGAAACAAGGACTTACAGGGAAAGTATGCCTTCACGTGGATGAAAGGTACAAATTTTGGTGTATTTCATTTTAATTACTATAAATAAAGCATTTTAACAAGTGAAGTGATTTAAGGTCTTTAAACGTCGACCTTGACTGACTATAATGAGAATAAATTCCAAGACTGTAGTCTTAGTCAGAGAATAAATTCTAAGACTGTAGTCTTAAATCACTAGCATCTAAGTCTTTTGGCTTTATTAAAAATTCTACTGCATTTGAGATTTGAACCCACGACCATTGAGTTGCTAGTCGAGACTCTTTCCTTCTCGACCACTCAATCGGATTGATTTTGCTTGTTTTCAGTTTGTGTTCATAAACACATATTGCTTGTAACCCATACTGAGATCCTGTCTTGTTCGTTCGACAATAAATGCTTGATTAAGTTATTTCCAATATTTGTAGGCCGCACTGTTATCAAGTTTTGTTCATTAGCCTGAATCTATTCGAGCAACTTCTCAAGTCATTTTTGCTAGTCATGCTTGCAATAACCGCTAGGTGAATAGGTTTTGTTCAGCCGATTGCTCGTTTTTGATTAACCATTCATTTAAGCCCTTTTCCCGCTAACCTATGTACTATTTGATTGTCAAGCATTCATTAAAATCCTTGTCATTTCGCTTTGCTGATCTCTTGTATTATTGTTAACTTCAATTGTTTGTATGCCTTTCATACTATAAGCTATGATATATGACCATAGTAAACGAATAACTTTGGTTCTCGCAATCGCCAAAAATCCCAACTCAACTCAACTTTTGCAACTGCGCGTCCGTTAATTTCAAATTCCGATTATAAACAAGTGCACACACAAACGTAGGCATACACGTCTACATTATTAATTTATCCAATATTTTAATATAATTTTCTGAACTCTTTTGTAAAGCTGTCGTGCCGATGGTAAATGCACTGCGGGGCATTTAATTTATGCTATAAAGTAAATTCCAATTATATGGCT